GGTCTGAGACTCGATGAGGCTCTCGTCTGGTATTGGCCCCTCCTCCCAGCACAATCCCAAACGTTCCCAAGGTAATCGGCTCGATCTTGAGCCCCTGTACCACCGTGTCCATTGAGTTCAGGAGAGTCGCCGGATCCAGCGTTGCCACCTCCCGGTCCACCGCCCTACACGCTTGTACATTGTCCGCGTGTAGTGCAACATGATCTTCGACCAATCGGATCAACCCATGCTGTTTGGAAGTCTGCGTACAAGCATGCTGGGCTAGCCGGGCAGCGTCATCCTGAGGGGTGTCGCGCGTTGCCGAAGCGGATGGCGGGAGCGGCCCTGACGTCTCGGGCCCCGAGGGTCCGTCTGCAGCATTGGGCATAGGGATGTCGGCGATGCCCTGGGTGAGACCGGTGTGGTCCGCTGTCGTAGCATCCTCCATACTTCCTTCTCTGTCGGGACCGTTGGGGAAATATTGTTGCGCCTCGGGGGCATCGAGGAGCCCAGGGGGGGCTGCGAGAGACGGTGGTGTCGCAGCCGCTCGCGGTGCATAAGGCCTTCACCCTGCCCAGGTGGTGGCGGCACTGGAGCTTGCAGTTGCCGTTCCTGCTGGCAGGATGGGCACCTGTCCGCGCCCAGCGCCTGAGCACCGAAGAGTGGGCAGGCGCTGTGTGGGCAGGAATGTAGTGCGGTAAATAAGGCGGCTGGGCCACCCCCCCGCAGGCTCAGTACCAAGTGTATCGTGGCGTACCTCTGGACATTGTAGTCCGTGAGCGTACCTCCAGCTGCTCTCTTCCAAAAGACAAGCGTTGCTGGTCGGGAGGGATGCGCTCGGTGTCCTGGATGGCCATTTTCACGTCGCAGATCGTGTAGCCAGCCTCCACCTTGAGCATTATGGTCTTCCCCGTGAGCATCTTCACATAGATCCTCATACCGTTGGCATCGCTGCGGCTGACGTCGGTGCCAGAGTCGGTGCCGGAGTCGGTGCCGGCGTCGGTGCCGGAATCGATGCTGGCGACGTCGATGCACGAGGTATGCTGCTGCGGCACCGTGTGGTGCTGCTCTCCCGGGCGGTGTCGATGGTCGGTGTGGGGTTGCCCCGCATAGCGCTGACTGTCCAAGGCGTCCGGCTGGTGATTGGCCGCTCGCGTGTCATAGGCACCTTCCGCCAGCACGGGCGTCCCCGAACTCAATGGCGCCCTGCCCTCGTGCAGGTCGCCGCAGTGATGGCGGGTGGCGTCGTGATGGTTGCGGCACTGATGCCGAACGCCGCCGTGCCGATCGCCGGGGTGCCCATGGCGGTCATCGTCGTGGTCATCCTCCTTCTCCTCCGCCTGGATGTGATGGTGTTCTTCGTCGTGGTGGTAGTCAGAGCTGGCGTCGATGCTGCTGGCGTCGTTGCCGGGGTTGGGGCCGGTGCCGGTGCTGATTTCGATGCTGCTGGAGCCAATGACGGAGTCGGTGCTGGCGTGGATGCTGCTGGCGTCGGTGCCAGAGTCGACGCCGGCATCGGTGCGGGCGTCACACCTTCTGATGTTGGTGCGAGAGTCGGTATTGGCGTCGATGCCGTCGTTGGAGCGCTGGTCGGCCGGCTCTTCACCATGGGAGTCCAGAGAGTCGTCGGTACCGCCGTCGGTATGAAGGTCGCCGTCATGGTGTGTAGGGGGTATCCCCTGAGCCACAGAAGCGCGATGCCGGTTCTGGTCGCCGTTGTGGCCCATCTCCTCAGGTACCTCGAGGTACCAGTTGTCGTGGACATTGTCGTGGAATTCTTCGTCCTGGGCGTCGTCGTGGGCGTCATCGGGTTCGCCATGGGCGTCGTCGCTGGCGTCGTGGTCGTCGTCCTGGTCGTCGTTGGCGTCATGCTGGGTGTTCCCGTTGCCGGTATTGTCCCAATGATGCTCCGCGCTGAAATTCAAGCGGCGCGAAGAACTGGAGCTGGCCAGGGCCAAAATGATCCATTCCCGTGGGCAGCATAAGCACCCGGCACTGTTCAGCGTGACCTGAGTGCACGCACCTCCGCGCAGGCGTCGCAGCCAAGCCTCGCCGTCCTGCAACATGTGGCGGTGCGCCACCATCTCTTCGCTGATGAGATTCCGCAGGAAGGGATACACCCTGTCCCAGAGTGCCTGTAGTGCTGAGTGGTGGGTGTGTGAGCAGGCGGAATATTCCTGATTGAGCAGGCCGTTGCCGCAACCAGCGCAACAAGAGTTCTGCAGCAACTCCTCGATGCCAAACGTCATGGCGCCTATGAATGAATTTCGAGAGGCCGTGGAAACTGAATGGATGACCTCGGTCCCCGCGCTCCAGGCGATACGCCCCAGCAAACCGTCCCCAATCGTCTCGCGGTCCTGCGTAGTTGTCACCTGTTCTGCACATGAGGCCGGAGATCCAGAGAGCACCTGGCCCAACACCTCGATGGGGCTGCTGGCATGAATGCTGGCGTGGGTAACGGCGGTGGTGCCATCGTCCGTGCTGTCGTGGGTGCTGGCGTCGGTGATGCTGTCGTCACTGATGTCGTGGGTACCGACGCCGATGATGGTGACGTCGATGATGCTGGCGTCGGTGTTATAGTCGCGCTTGCCCTTGCGATCCTTCCCTGGGTCATCGGTCAGGTCCTCGTAGGCGCGGTCCCCGTGGTGCCACATCGCATCGTGGGTCTGGATATCACGGATCTGCTCGCGGTCCGGGCAGGTGGCGCCACCTTCGTTGGCTGACAGCCCAAGCGGTGGGGGCTGCGACTCAGCAGCCATCGCGGCAACTGCGAGAGAGTGGAGAGTCGGGGCGGAAGTGTTGAAGGTATCGGGAAAGTAAGTATGGGGTTTCGCAATCGAATCGAAACACTCGCTTCTGGGGCCGTCTTGAGCCACCACTTGAGCCACATTATCTTGCGCCATGGAGGAGGAAGAGGAAGAGGAGGAGGAGAAAGGGGGAGAAGGGGGAGAGAACGAAAGCCAGGCCCTCGGAGGAAGAGGGTGAGGAGGTGGATGAAGGGGCCCTGGGACACACAAATAAATACGCAAAAATAACAGGACTCCCCATATTTTCGTATATTCTCTTGGTTTTTGTCTTCCCACCCCACTTCCCATATTTTCCAGGCGATCGACGATTAATTGTGTCTGTGTTTTTTCCCCTCCTGACAAGAGGGTGAGGAGGTGGAGCTGGGGCGAATCAACGCTTCAGGCTCCGTCCCTGAGGAAGCGCAGCGTCGGAAAGGTGGAGCCGGGCCCTCGGTCGCGGGCGCCAGTGGAGCCCCCCTGGCGACGCGCAGTCGTCTTCCCCAGCTGGGCGGCTGGAGGAGGAGGAAGAGGAACAGGAGGAGGAGGAGGAGGAGGAGGAGAAAGAGCAGGAGGAGGAGGAGGAGGAAGAGGAGAAGGACGCGATTCCCCCCCCGACACTCATCTCTCTGAAATTTTCTCTCCCGGCAGTCGGCCCTGGCTCGGCTACACGCAAGAGATGGCCCTGGGAAAGAGTGACCTGTGGTGCGCGGCTTTTTGGGAGCCGCGGGATGGATGGCCAAACGCAAGCGTGCAAGACGCCACTATCGCATCGCGTTCGGCGATCGGGGGACCCCAGTGGGCCCGCAGCAACGGTCACTCCAGCGAGGGGTCACTCCTACGTGCAGTCGACTGGCGGAGCCGAATGGCACTACTCTTTGCCCGCTGCGGCGGGCGGACACTCCCGGTCGCCACTGGGCCGCGCCCTCCAGCGTCGCCGCGTGGACGGCGCCCCCTCTGAGGCAGATTCTGCGGCTTCGGCAACCCGGGCTGTGCAACACGGGCCAGGGGCAGGGCAGTCGGGGCGTCTGGGGCGCCGTCTCACTGAGCCAGGGGCGCGCTGGAAGAATTCGACGCCCCCGTGGCCCGCCTAAGTCAAACATCAATTTGTTCAAAAGCACAGGGCACCGCGGGAAGCTTCCACGTCCCGCTGAAGGGCATATAATGTGGCGGGAGGGTGAAGCGAGGGGCAGGAGGAAGATAGGGAAGGGGGCTGGGCTGAGGTAGGCTAAGCGGGTCTGGGCTAGGTTCGCTACGGCTGTTGAGGCTGGCTTGGGCGAAATAATGGGCTTCAATGGTTTGGACCACGTTGGATTACATTGAATTATGGTCATTATGGTTGGCTTTGAGGTTGGGGCATGTTCGGCTGGAGGTCGTTCGCCGATGTTTGGTTCGATTAGGGTTAGGGTGGATCAGGCTGGTTTGGGCTACGTATAGTGGGATTCGTTGGTTGGCGTGTGATGGGTTGAGTTATGCTGTGCTGGACTAGCTCCTATGATACCTTAACGTGTGATTTGATGTGTGGCGTGCGTGACTCGGCCGTGCCAGCTAGCTGTCTGCTGCGGCAGGCCAAGCTTGGCCAGGCTTGGATAGACTGGGTCGGGAGAGGCGCCGCGATGGCAGCTTGTGGGCGCTGCTGACCCTCAAATTAATGGCCCGTACGATGCTGTGCCACGGCCAAGGCCAGGCAAAGCAAAAAGTTGTTTTGGCCGGCAGCGCCAGCGGTCGCGGGTGCGAGGGACGAGTCCGGCGGGGCGCGCCGAGCGCGAGGCGCGCAAAGCGGGTGGGACAACGAGAAGCCGAGGACCACATAGGGGGCGAAGAACGGTATGAAATAAACTTGTCCACAGTCGGGGACGCCTGCCCCCTGGGCGGCTGCAAAGTTTATACCCTCACGGTGCCACGTAGGGCCGCCTGGGGGGCAGGCGTCCCTGACTGCGGAAAAAAATATGTGATTCGGGAGCGGCCAAGAGCGGGGTGTCCAAGAGGGGGGGTGCAAATCATGACTGGCGGCATGTGCGCGGCCCAGCAGGGGGGCTAGGGACGTAATGAAATAAGAAGAGGCGCCATGACATCGGGGGAAATATCATGGCCCCTGCCATGATATCCACCCCCCCCTAGTCATCACTCCCCTCCGTGCCGCCCCCGAGTTATACCGTTCTTCGCCCGCTAAGCCAAAGCCGGGGCCAAAAAAGCCAACGAACACAACCGCTGCCCCACCGAGCTGGCGCACGGCACCTGAGAGGCTCCTGCGCGTCCGCCACGCAGACGACGGCCCGGGTGCCCAGCCTGGGGCGCGAGCACGGCGGGGAGGGGAGGGGAGGGAAGGGGAGGGGAGCGGCAGGGGGAGAGGGAGAGGGAGGGAAGAGGGAGGGGGAGGAAGGGGGAGGCGGAGAAGAGGAGGGAGGGGAGGAGAGGAGAGAGAGAGAGAGAGAGAGAGACGGGGGGGCAGGGGAGCGGGGAGGCAGAGGGAGAGGGAGGAGGGGGACGGGAGGAGGCAGGACCGGGAGGAGGAAGGCGTGGGAGGCGGGAGGGATGGCAGAGGGAGCGTGGGAGGTGGCTCCAGAGGCCGGCACCAGCTCAACGACCAGCCCACTTGCAGGAGATGAGT